AGGTTGATGTACCCCTGATCCTCTTCAATGATGTCTTAGAGCACGTGCTGCGTATCGATCGTGTCTTCCGACAGCCCCAAGGTCATCTCATCTTGATTGGTGTCAGTGGCAGTGGCAAGACTACACTGTCTCGCTTTGTCGCTTGGATGAATGGTCTCAAGGTTTTCCAGATCAAGGTCCACGGAAAGTACTCTGCTGAGGACTTTGATGACGATCTTCGAGATGTCCTTCGACGATGCGGTTGTAAGGGTGAGAAGATTTGTTTCATCATGGACGAGTCGAACGTTTTGGACTCTGGTTTCCTGGAGAGAATGAACACCCTGCTTGCCAACGCCGAAGTCCCCGGTCTCTTCGAGGGAGACGAGTACGCAGCCCTTATGACTGCTTGCAAGGAGGGTGCTCAACGCCAGAACCTGCACCTGGACTCGCCAGAGGAACTGTACAAGTGGTTCACGCAGCAAATCGTCAAGAACCTACACGTCGTGTTTACCATGAATCCTCCTGAGGATGGCCTCTCCTCAAAGGCTGCGACCAGTCCTGCTTTGTTCAACCGTTGCGTCCTCAACTGGTTTGGAGACTGGTCTGATCAGGCTCTCTTCCAAGTCGGTCATGAACTCACTCAGTCTATCGACTTGGACCGAAGCAACTTTGAGTGCCCTGATACCATTCCTGTGGCGTACCGTGGTCTGCAACTACCTCCTTCTCATCGTGAGACAGTTGTCAACTCCATGGTGCACATCCACTACTCGCTCCAGCGGTACAACGAGAAGCTGCTCAAGCAGCAGGGCAAGGTTACTTTCTTGACACCTCGACACTTCCTTGACTTTGTCACACAATACATCAAGCTCTACAACGAAAAGCGGGAGGATCTTGAGGAGCAGCAACGTCACTTGAACGTTGGTCTAGAGAAGCTCAGAGACACAGTGGACAAGGTTCGCGATCTCCGAGTGAGCCTAGCGGAGAAGAAGAAGCAACTGGAGCAGAAGGATGCGGAGGCGAACGAGAAGCTGCAGCGCATGGTTGCTGATCAGCGTGAGGCGGAACAGAGGAAGAACACTTCACTGGAGATTCAGGCCAACTTGGAGAAGCAGGAGGCAGAGGTTGCCTCGCGGAAGAAGGTTGTGTTGGAGGATCTCGCAAAGGCTGAACCCGCCGTCGAGGAGGCCAAGGCCAGTGTCAGCAACATCAAGCGTCAACATCTGACCGAAGTCAGGTCCATGGGCAACCCGCCTCAGGGTGTTCGACTTGCCATGGATGCCGTGTGCACCTTGCTCGGTCACAGGATCAACGACTGGAAGGCGGTGCAAGGAATCGTGCGAAAGGATGACTTCATTGCCAGCATTCTCATGTTTGACAACGCCAAGCAGATGACCAAGGGCCTGAGAAACAAGATGCGCAACGACTTCTTGTCCAATCCTGAATTCACCTTTGAGAAGGTCAACCGCGCTTCCAAGGCTTGCGGTCCTCTTGTGCAATGGGTTGCTGCCCAGGTCAACTACTTTGACATTCTCGACCGAGTTGGTCCTCTCAAGATCGAAGTCGAGCAACTCGAGGATCAAGCCCTGGAGACCAAGGCCCAGGCCAAGTCTGTGCAGAACAATATCGCGGATCTCGAGGCCAGCATCAACACGTACAAGACTGAGTATGCTGCGCTCATCAGCGAGACCCAGGCCATCAAGGCCGAGATGTCGAGAGTCCAGTTCAAGGTGGACCGCAGTGTCAGACTTCTCGACAGTCTATCCTCGGAACGAGTTCGTTGGGAGGCTGGAAGCAAGTCGTTCGAAATCCAAATCAGCACCCTCGTCGGAGATGTCCTCGTGGCTGCGGCCTTCCTGGCGTACAGTGGTCTATATGATCAGACATTCCGAAAGTCAATGATGGACGACTGGTTCCATCAGCTTCACCTGTCTGGTATTCAGTACAAGTCGCCAAACCCTGTTACTGAATACCTGTCTACAGCTGATGAGCGCCTGGGCTGGCAGGAGAATGCTCTCCCTGTCGATGATCTATGCACTGAGAATGCTATCATTCTTAAGCGCTTCAACCGTTACCCACTCATCATCGACCCCTCGGGACGAGTTACTGAGTTCCTGCAGAAGGAATGCAAGGATCGCCGCCTGACGGTGACGAGCTTCTTGGACGATACCTTTACCAAGCAGCTCGAGAGTTCCCTTCGATTCGGAAACCCCATTCTCATCCAGGACGCCGAGCATCTGGATCCTATCCTCAACCACGTCCTCAACAAGGAATGTCAACGAACAGGTGGACGTGTTCTCATCCAGCTCGGCAAGCAAGAGATCGACTTTTCGCCAGCCTTCAAGCTCTACCTTTCCACTCGCGATCCATCGGCCACGTTTGCCCCTGACATCTGCAGTCGAACCACGTTTGTCAACTTTACTGTCACACAGAGCAGCCTGCAGACCCAGTCACTTAACGATGTGCTCAAGTCAGAGCGGCCGGATGTTGACGAACGACGCTCCAACCTCATCAAGCTTCAGGGAGAGTTCAAGATTCACTTGCGACAGCTGGAGAAGCGACTTCTTCAGGCTCTCAACGAGTCTCGTGGTAATATTCTGGATGACGACAACGTTATTGAGACGCTCGAGACTCTCAAGACCGAGGCTGCCGAGATCTCTGCCAAGATGAGCAACACCGAGGGCGTCATGGCTGAGGTGGAGGAAATCACACAGCAGTACAGCATCATTGCCCGATCTTGCAGTGCTGTCTTTGCTGTTCTGGAGCAACTGCACTACCTCAACCACTTCTACCAGTTCTCACTCCAGTACTTCCTCGACATCTTCCAGTCGGTACTCCACGGCAACAAGAACCTCGCCAACGAGACAGACCACAATGCCAGACGCGATGTCATTGTCCATGACCTCTTTGTCAACACATTCAAGCGAACTGCCCTTGGTCTTCTCCAAAAGGACCGCATCACTCTGGGAATGCTTCTCGCCCAGGCCTCTCCTTACAAGATGGATAAGTCTGTCATTGACATGATCCTCGACAACCGTGTTGAGGGCAAGGACCTCTCGTCACACCCTGACGACAGAGAGAACGCATTCGCTCAGGCCAAGAAACTCAGTGCTATCAAGGACAAGATTGATGCCATCTCAACCGAGGACTGGGACAAATTCTTCACTGAGGAGTTGGCCGAGAACGCTGTGCCACACATCTGGGATGAGAAGACTGAAGCCATCGACCAAGCCCTTCTGTCTCTCCTACTCGTCAAGCTATTCAGGATGGACCGATTTGTTCCCGCCGCCGAACGCTTCGTTGCTCAGGTCTTTGGCTCTGACATCTTTGATATCGTCGAGGACCTGAAGCAGACCGTCACTCAGGTGTCTGCCACACTGCCAATCTCCCTGGTGTCGAGCCCCGGCTTCGATGCCAGTTACAAGGTGGACAACCTGGTTGAGAGGATGCGCGTCAAGTGCACCAACATCGCCATGGGTTCCAACGAAGGTCTCGCCAGCGCCGACAAGGCCATCAGCAACGCCGCTCAAACTGGCTCATGGGTCTTGGTCAAGAATGTGCACTTGGCTCCAACCTGGCTTCAGAGCTTGGAGAAGCGCATGGAGTCACTCAACCCTCACTCGGACTTCCGTCTCTTCCTTTCCATGGAGTCGAGCCCCAAGATTCCCGTCAACTTGCTCCGAGCCTCCCGCGTTCTCATGTACGAGCAGCCTGCTGGTGTGAGGGCCAACATGAAGGACTCGATGTCATCCCTGTCCACGAGAGCCACAAAGAGCCCCGTGGAGAGAACACGACTCTACCTGCTTCTGTCCTTCTTGCACGCCGTTGTGCAGGAGAGACTGCGATATGCGCCAAACCTTGGCTGGAAGGGATTCTGGGAGTTCAACGACAGTGATGTAAGTGAAGTCTGGATCTCCCCTTTCTTGAGTTGATAGCTAACATATACGATAGTATGAGTGCTCCGCCTATATTGTCGATACTTGGATCGATGGTGTAGCAGGCAACCGAACCAACCTGGCGCCTCAGAATATCCCATGGGAGATGCTTCGATACCTTGTGACCGAGACGTATGGTGGCAAGATCGACGATGAGGGGGATTTCAAGCTCCTTTCTCAGCTCGTCACGTCGTTCCTCACTCCCGCCGCCTACGAGGTTGACCACAAGCTCGTCGATGGACCCGAGGGTGGTCTCGTTGTGCCGTCGGGCACCAGTTTCCAGGACTTCAATGCTTGGATTCACCGTCTGCCCGAACGTGAACCTCCTACCTATCTCGGCCTGCCTGCCAATGCCGAGAAGCTGCTCCTCGGAGGTCTCGGTCGTAGCCTGATTGGTAACCTGCGCAAGGTTACAGAGCTGCTCGACGAGGGCGAACAGCTGGTGACGGAGGTTTAAGTTGTCATGGACTAGGAAAGATTGGTTGTATGTGTACTATGGATGGAATTATGAGGCTGTGTCATTCACTTCACTTCTTTGAAAGGGCCTGGGTCCCTTGTTGTTTTCTTTACTTTATTACATGATATTACATGTGGCATCAAGCGGCGGCGCGTTGCGAGAATGGCGGACACTGTCGAGGACTACACTATACTTGGTGATACCCCCTGCGTCACATAGACTGGTGCTTTGTTTTTCTTAATTTGTTTGACTGTGTTTGATCTACAATCACAAAAGAATGATTCGCTATGCCTTGATCTAACTCGTGCGTAAACTCGTGAAACCTTTGATAATCCAACCCTTGAATCCTTCTCACACTCATTACCGATACAAACGAGAGGGGAGTTTTACTATGGCAGTAGTGACAGAAACTCGGCAAGCCTAAAATGCAACCCAGAAGATAGAAGAAGCATATAACAAGACGCAACAAACATAATGTCAAGAAGAAAAAATCACCTCTCGGAAACTGCCACAAACCCATACGCGCTCGGCGACGGCATTGGGGCGGAATAGTCCACATTGACAACCCCCCAGTCACTACTAAACCCAAACACATCACCAAAATTGTCCATCTCCGGGGCAGCGCTTTCCTGGCTCTGGCTCTGGCTCTGAGCTGGGTAGGGGAGCTGGATCCTGAGAGTCTCAGATAGGTACTGGCGCAGCTGTGATTGGAGAAAGGGCTCAAACGACTTTTCTTCGTCAACCAGGTCAACGCGCTCGTTCATCCACTCAAACTTGTCAATGAACTCGATCAAGAGCTCGCCCTCTTTTAGTTCCAAAAGACTCTGGGCACGCTCGGCAGCGTTCTTGAGGAGGTCTCTATCCGACATGGTATAATCGCAAGGGGTGGTCTCGGCGCCAATCATCCAGGACACAGTGACAAGGAGCTCAGAAGCAGAGATGCCATAGGCAGACTCGCACTGATTATACCAATCGGGAGCGCAACCAGGTCTGACCAAGCCCAGAAGAACGCCCCAGAGAGTGCAGAAGATCCTGGTGTTATCCCACCAGTGGCGCATGGTAGGGTTGGGCTGGACCGAGGGATTCTGCAGGGGAACCGGGTGGTTGATGAGAAGCTGTTCACTACACCATGCCGCACAGAGGCGAAGGGGCTGCGAGACATTTCGTCGAACCATGTCGACAAAGGGCTGCCTCCTAATGAAGTCGTTGAGGAGGTGCTCTGTCGAGAAGTTCGGTGAGACCTCTTTCTCACTCAGCGAGTGCTCATACTGGTCAAGGCCATAGAAAAGGAAGTAGTCGGCCACCAGGTCAATAGAGGAATAGTTGTGAGGGATACGCCTCAGTGACCCGGTTTCGTCAAGAAATTCCTGAATGGTAGCGCAGGTGCGGCGCTTTACTGTCGTATTATCAGCCTGCTCGAGGCGGTCTTGCAAGTATGCTTTGAGCATCGACATGACGAAGTGAGGTTCATCATCGTATTGCTGAGATAAGAGGCCAGACAGCAGTTCCCATGCTTTGTGGGTATTCTCTGGTTTATCGGCGACCCGAGCACATGAGATGGCAACAAACATCTGGGTTGTAGAGTGAGGCTGGTTGGACCTTGATAGGGAGTTGTATAGGCCAGAATATAGTTGGAAAGCGTTCTCATCATCAGACATGGCCGCGCAAAAGTCAGCAGCAAGCTTTGTTGTCGCCTGACCATCCCCAGGCCCCCAAGGGTAGCGGATACGATGGCGAGGGTTTGGTTTCATAGGAATGTGGTCATCGTGGTCCGTATCGTCGATGATGGCACTCGTCGAGGCCATGTTGCTAGACAAGTTCGGTCGGGAGCTTGTGTCGAGCGGCCGAACATTGTCGAATTCCATCTGGTCGATTGCACTCATAGAATTCTTCTTTTCGCCAGAGTTGTTGTACTTCTTGACCCCCCACTTGTCAAGACGATAACCATATTGGCGCTTGCTGCGGAAGATCAGTCAAAGGCCGAGACGGCTTCAAGATCAACATACCTCGCGTGGAAGTTGAACCGCCTCTTCATGAACTCCATGACAATGTTGAGAGTGTAGGATTTGTAAAGAGTGCAGAGGATAGGCTTGAACCTTTCCCAGCTCTCGTCAGTGATACGATGGGAACGCTTGTGTCTGTCAAATGCCGGTTCAACCCATCTCGCGTTTGAGGGTACCACGCTTGCCATTGTCTCGATTCTTCGCTCTCAAGGTTGCTTCAAGGGATTCAGGCTGTAGAAGGTAAAGCCGGGAGGGAAATCGAAAAGGACTCAGGCATGATGAGAGCCTGGTTTTAAAGAGACAGACCGCCATGGCCGACTGCGGCTATGCACGCTGGACCTCCCTCAACTCCAAATCGCCTAGAGCAGAGCCTCGTCGAGGCAACCCCTTATCCGGTTGCCTTAAAAGACAATGGCACAAGCCCATTGACGGATACATTGTGTGTATCGGACCAAGGCAAAGAGTCGTTCGCCAGCAGAGCGCCATCGGCAGCACAGGGCCAATTGTAATTCCCAAGCCACCCTCACCGCGGTTTGGGATTTGATTGGCAAATAACATCCTTGCTTGCATTTTGGGATTTGCAACTCGGCGGAACAGCCCAAAGACAAGCCGCGCATGCCCAAGGCCGTCCACAAGGCCGTCCAAGCCCAAGACAGGCCGACACAGCCCAGACGAGGGTGGGTTTTGCTCTGGGAAGACATGGAAATTGCAAAACTGCACCATGGGCCCTCGTGCATCGTTTGAGTCGTGGCCCAACGGCACCCAACGGGCACCCAATACCCGCCAAATTCAGGTCCCGGCGTGAGCTTCGCTGGCCGCGATTGGCGTGACCTGGCATGCAGGTCTGGCCATCATGTCCCATGATGCGCGTGAGCTCTAATGCGTGTGCTTCTGCGCGAACGATCTTATTCAGACCAAGCAGAAAAAACCACATCACCCTGACTCCCCCGTGTCATCAACCGCGATCATGGGCTTGAATAAAGGCTCGCTCAGTCCCATCGGTCCATCCATGACCGACACCACTCTCCTACCTCACCCATCATCATCTCACACCCTGCACCTACACCTGCAAACACCATTAGCATCACGTCATCCCAAAACCATGGTGAGAGAGGAAGACTACAACTCCTGGGAGGAGCCTAGCAAATATCCGCGGATACCCAACGTCTATGAGCCCATCGAAGACGTTCCATCTCGCAACGCTCACGACACCAACACTCGGCCTCTCAACCGAGACAAGACAAAGGCCATCGCAGTCAAACTGAATATCGATAACCATCGCCAGTCAACTTCACTGCGACGATCCCCTGACTTTGAAAATTGGCCAGACCACAGGGCACTTGAGGACGATCAAGCGAATTGGTCCGTCGTCGCACAGCTGGGGAGCAGTTATACCTGGAGCGATGATTCCTTCAACTGGCCTCCGAAACCGACAGACCCGTCGCATCGGCGGCAGCGTGAAACAGACGAGCAGAGGCGAGCAAAACGGCAGTCAAGTTTCGAGAAGTGGATGAATGCCGGCGACAAACTCTTCTGCCACTCACAGAAGGCCCGGTCATGATGCTCTCAAAAAGAGCTTGACGACGATGACCAAGACAAAAATGGTGAAGAGCATGAGACATGATTCGGCGTTTTAACTGCGAGTAACACATACCGGATTCAGGAAGGGTATCGAATAATTGCATCATCTTGTCAAGACAGATCAAAGACGCATCAGCAGCTGGCCGTACAAACACTTTGGGTCGATGCAAGAACGGCGTCGGTTTGGTCTTTGACTTTTGGTAGAATTGATGATTTTGGCCATGATGCGAGGTGCAACTTTGTACCATGTCGACTTCAGATGAGATGAGATGAGATCGCATGCCTTGTAGCCTGAAAGACTTGCATCATGTCCAGCCGAGTCCGCCAAGAGCACAGGATATCCCAATCGAGCCTTGTCACTGACCCCTCGGGATCTTGGGGTTGCCCGGTAGATGGATGCCTCGAGGCCATGATGATGCCTGAGTCCACGAGGCCTCAGGAAGGAACGAGAATGGCCGGGGGCCAGAGGGTGCGAAGGCGTCGACTGAATAAGGAACGCACTCTCGGGAAGAATTACACCAAGAGTGCACCAATCTTAATGTCAGCTCATCTTGGTGTGCAGGCTCATGGAGCACAGATGACGAAAGGGTGTTGTCGGAGTAGGTAGTGGTGGTGATGTGAAACACGACTTGTTTTGTGCCGTGAAACCTGCAGATGAATGAAAATGGCCGGGAAGAACTGTTGTTAGCCAGGAAATGGAAGAGTGAGTATGAGGAACAATGGTTGCCAATTGCTCGTCGATGAAAGGATTTGACTTTAGGAACGGGACAGGAAAAGAATTGATGCTTGGTTTTGACGAGGGCCAGCTCAAGTCATCGACAATTGTCAACCCGGGATGTACCTGCCAACTTCAGGATGCAGTGAGGATGGCTGTGGCGTTACAACCACGAATCTCGATGGGCAGCCACTACAGAACAAACCGGGCAACACCTGCCCTCCTTCTTCCTGCCGTCCCTCTTGGTGAGGGTCACGCGAACCAGCAACTGCACACCCAAATCCTTGACAAGGTTCTCGTTAGCACAACTGCCGATATTGCCAAAGATGCCTTAACAAGGAGCTGGTCTCGCCGTCTGTCAGTCTCTCCACGCGCTGCAAGCGGAAGACGAGCCGTTATGAGCCGATCTCGAGGCAGAGCCCAAGTCGAGGTCGTCATTAGGGGGCTGAGGTCAGCCAATCACGTAGCTCCAGAGACGCCTACTTCCCTCACGACAATCCCAATGCAGGCCTGTGCAGCGCAACGCACAAGGGAGTGACTTGCGCATGCACCACAGGTTCTCTGAGCAGGTGCGACCTTGATGAAACTGTTTTAGCGGTACCTGCCCTCGGATGGAGCTCAGGCCACCAGCAAATACTGTACAGTACATGGCATCATTCAATGCCCCTGTAGAAGCCTCTTGGAAGCAGGCCAATCTCGTCCGACGGCGCAAAAGGCTACTGCACTGACTACCAACAGTAGCGCTGTGTAAGACAAAGCCATCCCATTTCTCTCTCGGCTGATGACTTTTCTGTATGAATCAATGGACTTGTGATCATGGAAATGGAACCCTTGAATGGACGGGCTGTCGCGGATAATTACGTACCTTGGCCATGTACCTCAGACAGAGCACCACCATCGCTGCCTTGCTCGCACACCAACTCCACACCAGCACTTCCGGAATCCAGCCTGGCCACCACCTTGATCCCCAAGGTTTAACACCAGAAACCAATCAAAGCACGACCTTGCTTTATTTTCCGGTAGTCTTTTCGACTGATCCGGCACCCCGCAAGACAGGCCCGTCCCCTAGCGCCCTCCCGAGCAGGTCATCTGGCCTGGCAGGGCATGGCATGGTTGGTGATGCAGGTGTTGCTCTGAGGATGCGCGGTTGGAGATCTGCCGTCGAGAGGCGATGGCGGTCATGCGCTGACCATCCCCAATCCTACGCTTATACCGACCTCGACGTACCTGTCCCTGTCACTGTCCAGCTACGTAGTTGGGTACCTTTGTGAGTGAGCTTCCCGATGGAACCGCCTTCCAAGCTGTTACAGTGCCTTGGTTTATTCGAGGCAAGCCAAGGTACAGTAGAGTAGCTTCCATGGCGCGTGGTGTGACACGAGCATCGTCGATGGTTGCTTGCTCGGCCCTTCCCCTCCATCATCCGGGCTGCTTCCCCGCATAAACTACTCGGCCGTCTGCCTACCTATTCCTTGTTGTTTAAATGCTTTCTTCTCCCTCTGCCGCTCTTGAGATTCCTCTCCTTCTTCCACACGTCACCAGTTCTCCGGCGCACACCCACACACTTTGAACTGCGTCCCTAGCCTGCCTTAGCAGCCATCTTGACTCGAATCGACCTTATTCTCGACTATTCTCGACGTCTTCCATACCCAGGGCCGACTCTCTCATCTGTCATCATGGCGAACTGGCAACAGCGTACGTTCAAAACAATACGAGGCGCCTCTCCTCAGCTCTCCGGTCCTTCACTCGGGAGTTACACCGCTGACCATGCCTCCTAGTCAACCCCTTCAGCAAGAGGGAGTCTCACTCAAACGGAGCTATTCTCACGTACAAGATCCTGACTCTCCTCACCTGGATCCTGTCCCTCGTCGTCACCGTTTACTACACCGTCCGCCGTCCCGAAGATGGCCACACGAGAAACAGAACGATCTGGGAGCAGAACCACATGTACCCCACTGCTTTCAGCCTGAACTCTACCATCACCTCCATCTACTGGTACGCTTCGCCATGGTTTATTTGTTGGAAGCGCTAACTCTTCTCCAGGATTGTCCTCTTTTTCCTCCAGGCTGGTTACATTGGCCACCTCTTCTCGAGCAACTCGGATATTGTTCACGCTGCCGCCAGCGTTGGAAGCCACTTCATCTTCAACAACCTCTTCCACTTCGCCTTTGTCATGCTCTTTGTCCGATCTCACTTCCACTGGGCCGAGGTCATCTTGATTCTGAACTTCATTAACCTTTCTTCGCTCTACTTCCGCCACAACACCTATCCTCGATTCATCCACACCCCGGTTGCTTCTGGACCTCTGGCCTGGACCTTTGTTGCCATCTACTGGAATGGCGCTCTGATGATTCCTCACCCCCACCATCTGGTGCCCCGCATCTTCGGAAACATCTTCATTTGGGCCATTCTCGCCTATGGACTGTTCTTCATCATCATCTACAAGGTTTGTAACGTATCCACCTGTTGCCGCAGTAGACTAACCGGACGCAGGATTACACCATGGGCTTCTCGCTCAGTGTTCTTTCCGCGGCCATTGGTGTTTCGCAATTCCTTGACAAGGTCATTGCTTTCCAGTGGATTTTCGCTTTCATCATCATGGCTCTTCTCTTCATCGCAACTGTCATTGTCGCAGTCCCCGCCTGGACTGGCAGAGAGATTAGCTGGCGATCTGCACCTGCTGACCAAGAGCGCGCTCCTCTCCTTGCTGAGAACTAAGCGCCCGGTATAATCAAGAGAGCGGTGACTTGTCTCTAGATACCCAGCGGTTATTCTCGGTCAGCATGGTATTTTCAGGTTGGATTGGTGGCCATGATTTGTCTTGCGTCTCTTAACCTCCCGTTATTCGCAATTCGAGCCCATCGGACGTGGAGTTGGGAAGGCATGGCGTTGTATATTTGCCGAAACGTTGTTAATTATTTGCACGTTCATTACAGGCGCTCAGTCACCTCGGTAATTAGGTAGTAATTGAAGGATCCCGACAGACAAACTCACGCGGTGTCACCAAGATTTGGGAACTTTTACTCCGGTGACGATCATGACATGCTGAGGGTGACGTAACTGTGGGGATGGACGCGAATCGATAAGTTGCCGTCATAAGCTAGGCCAACTACGGTAAAGAAGCTCTGCGGCTTGGATCGAGACCAGACGTCAAAGATTCTTGATTGCCTCACCCGATACACCATAACACGACGACGGTCGACGCTTGCAGATGAAGCCCCTGAGGGCATTTCCCTTTCCGTTGAATATTGGGACCGATATTTGCCAAATCTCGCGCATCTATCGAATCCTCTCAGGTCCTCGTGCTTCACGCTTCGTCAACAGGATCCTCTCTCCTGAGGAGCTCGCAAAGAAGGATGCTCGCCTCGACATCTTAAGACGGGTGCCGGCAAAGAATGGCGAACCGGAAGTAGGCCAGGGGAGTGGAAACAAGGCATTAGTCGGGGGTGATCAAAGCCATGAGAGTATTGCCGTCAGAGATCCCGAACTATGGAAGTGTGCCGCCTTTGTTGCAGGGAGGTAAATGCTGTCCAACCCCTCCATGATATTGGGGATTCGCAATTCCGCTGACTTGGATATTGCGTCAGGTTCGCGGCAAAGGAAGCCGCCATCAAGGCGCATCCATACCGACGCCTAACGTTTCACGACGTGATGATTGAGAGGCGCCAAGTTGAGGGAGAGAGGTTGGGAAGCGGGCCACCGGTGGCGCGCATACGGAGCGGCGAAGAGCAGGCAGAGGATGCAAGCGCTCCAGTGTCGATCAGCCATGATGGAGACTATGCGACGGCTGTGTGTTTGGGGCATGAGCCAAGAAATGGAGATATCAAGGGCTAATGATGGGAGAGTGCGTTCGCTGTTGACGGATTACAATATACAAGCCTCACCGTTCCAGAAAGAGTGCATAGTCAAAAAGAGTAATCAACCGTATAAGGCAAAAGTGAGGTCATCAAAAAGATAAAATGGAAAACGTTGCTTGACATGAGGAAGGAGCAGGCGGGTACCCGCCTTGCAATGCTGCGGGGCCAGCACCTTCCCGCTCAACAACGACATCTAAGGAAGGAGCAAAAACAAAACACCACACCAAAACATCACCAACTCCAAAAAAGATATCCAACCACCAAAAATGAATCATTCACGGTATACCAGGGACTCGAACCCTGAGCCTTAGTCTTAGGAGGACTACGCGCTACCATTGCGCCAGCACACCGCTGCCGTCTTTGTTGATTGGCTATGTTGAGTGAGTTGTAAGTTGAGTTTATATTGACTGAGTTTGGGGGGGTTGGTTGGGCTGGAAGGGATGAGTTCTGTTCGAATGGTTACAAATTTGGCAGGTGACAGTCGCCGTTTTATGGTATTCTTAGATGGATTAGTTGTTTGGTTTCTTCCATGTTGAGCGGGTCGTTGCGTGGTGCATGGGCAGGTGCTTGCCAGTGCTTAGCCGCGTGTTATCGGCAGTTTGCAGGCAGGGCGGTCAAAGACAGTTGTATTTGTTATGTTGTAAGTATTAATATGAAATCACGCTAGTTGTTTCTGTTTCTTCATACGGCAATACTGGTGACAACATTGCGTGGAGAACTGGCAACATTGTGCCTTCACATCAAACTACACTCATTGTTTCTATACCATTTTCAACAAGCGGAATCAAGGAAACGAGTTGCCAGACGCCCGGCTACAGTAACCGGATCTACAGCTCACAATGATACTTCACAAGTAAGCACCCGCCCAATCACATAACCAGATCAGGCACGCAAAACCAAAAACCAACAGAACGGATAAATGATGCCATATCGAACCAATCTGGCTACCCTGGAGATAAACCGGCCGTTGTCGATGGTGACCACCACTTTGACACAGCTCCACCCCCACGAAAGAAGGCCTCATCGGAATTGAGACAACAGAGAAAAGAGACAACTTCCTCACCGTGACGCCTCGGTCTAAGCCATTAAGGCAACGATGAGTCCTCACCGAAACCGGTCAGCAAGCAAGACGAGGCGGTCAAACAACGAGGCAAACGGCTGCCGGTCGAATCGACGTCTTGACCGTTGTCCTGCCGTCCCCCCCCCCGTATTCTGGTGGATGCGGGCTGTGTCTTTTGGCGGCGGGTCCCTGCTGCGGTGGATCGGGCCCCAGGGTGACGGTCCACTGAGAGCCCTGGGGAGCCCACCAAAGCTTCAGCGCTAGAAGTCCCGATGGTCGGCCTTGACGGGCCCCACCAGCTCTTTCCGCCCCCCCCCAGCCATTGTTCATGAGAACTGGAAGGGGACATGGATTGATAACGTGCTTGCTGTTTTCTTCCCAGGGGGACTTGATTTCAACTCTTCATTCACAATCTTTTTTTGGTGTGACGGTGGGTTGAGAGTCAATTGGTGACTCGGCTGCTTCTCAATCACCTGAATTGACATTCGTTGCCTCTGCGCTCTCTTCCTGCTTTTATCTCTCTCGCTCTAGCATCATCTCAAAGCTTCAGCGGGGTTTCTCATGTCTACGCGGCCATGATGGATGTCCTGATCCACCGGTTCGGCGGATTTGAATTCTCTCCTTACCAAAGGAATCAATCATCTCTGCCTCCACAGCCTGACTACCTGACAAGGTATTTATGATAGAAACACCCCTGTTGAACAGCCATGCTAAGCCATGTCCAGCGTCTATCAAAGCACACTGTCGTTGACTCAAGTACCATGGATCGCTGATGTCTCACGGCTTGCCCAGTCTGGAGCTCCTCAAGCTGTGTTGCTCTTTATATCTTTGACACGGCTTCTGGTTCGAATTGCTCAAATCCGAAGCAGTTTCTCTGCTCAACGTTTAAAAGCGGCCAAGATTCGGTGGCCGTATGAACTTGCATCTCAAGCTGCAAGGCTCGCCGCCACAGTCCTCATTACGGTTGCCTTCATACATGGCCGGATACACTGGTCAAATATTCTAGTGGTTGCATATGCTTTCATCCTTGGCCTGCTGCGCCTTTTCAACCACCTACAATGGCGACACGTGGCTCTGCACCAAGTCAACCTGGTGCTCACTGCCATGTTGTTCATCCTTATCGTCGGTTACACTTTGCCTTGTATCCAGACTGGTACACAATGCCTCCGCGATGCTAGTGTTTCCGGGGCTATCGCGGCCCTCACTGTGGCATTTGCCGTGGCCATTACCACACCGCGAGAATGGACACCTTTGCCGGTTGACCTCAACATCCCCGGCTACAACCAGGATGAGCCTGCCCCTGAAGAGGCCTGCAGTTGGTTCACCTACTACTGTTCCTACGACTGGCTAACACCCATCATTTGGAAGGGTACCAAGCGCAAACTTGATATGGCTGACATCCCCAAGCTTGCTTGGTATGACGAGCCCATGTACCTCCTGCGCCGTGTCCAGGAGGCCAGGGCCATCTCGAAAAAGACATTGCGCACGGTAATCCGCTTCCAGAAGAGCGAGCTGGTCCTCATGTCTGCTTGGGTCGGGTCTGCATACACGGTAGAGACTGTGGCCGCCTACGCCATGTTCAAACTCCTCGAGTACCTTGCTAACCCAAACGGTGCCATCTACAAGCCCTGGCTCTGGCTACTTCTCATGTTCCTCGGCCCCCTGGCTCGCTCTGTTTGCTTCCAGCAGTACATCTTCACGTCCACCAGACTCGTGGTTCGCATTAAATCTGCCTTTACTCAGGAGTTGTACTACACTGCGCTCGAGTCGATGGAGATGGAGGAAGACCCCTTTGAGCTGCAGTCAGGAGGCGCGAAGCCAGGCCACCACAAGAGCCAGGGCCAGAAGAGCGCCAAGAGCACCTCGGCAGGACGACTGGCAAACTTGATGGCTTCTGACATCGATGCCATCTACAGGTCACGGGATATCATTCAAGCTACTGTCGGCGTCCCTGCCGGTACCATAATTTCTCTTGTTGGCATGTATAGGATGCTCGGCTGGGCCTCCCTCGTCGGGACAGTTATTCTATTCCTGGCGACTCCCCTCTCCGTCTGGCTGGGACGAAAGATGTTCTTCTCGCAGCGCCGGGTTAGGAAGGCCCAAGATTCACGCATGTCCCTCGTGACAGAGTATCTTGCTTCTCTCCGTGCCATCAAGTATTTTGCGTGGGAGAATCCCATCACGGATAAGATCATCGAAGCTCGGACTGCAGAGCAGAAAGAGCTCTGGAGGACTTCTATGCTCCAAGCTTTGCTGAACCAAGTCATGCAGATCTTTCCCTACCTGTCCCTGCTCGTCATGTTTGGGCTCCACGTTGGCATCGAGAAGCGTCGTCTCGATGCTGCCACTGCCTTCACAACCATCTTTCTTGTCAAGAACGTTCGCAGAAACATCATGCAGGCTAGTGCCTTTGGCAGAAACTTTGCGAGCGCCCTTGTGTCGGTGAAGCGGCTGGACAAGTACTTTGAGAGCACAGTTCCCATTGTTCACTATCCGGTAGGTCCGCTGCGGATGCAGGGAGCATCATTCCGGAAGACCAAGAAGGCTACGTTCACTTTGAACGACATCACGCTCGATTTCGCCCAAGGAGGCCTAAACGTTGTCGGCGGTCCAAGTGGAAGTGGAAAGACGACACTCTTGTTGTCTATTCTGGGTGAGACGTATCTTGAGAGCGGCTCCTTGACAAGACCCGAAGACGTTGCTTTTGCATCCCAGTCTGCTTGGCTGCAGAATGATACTATCCAGGCAAATGTCCTCTTTGGCAGTCCCATGGAGGAAGCAAGGTACAAGCGTGTCATTGAAGCATGCTGCCTCTGGGAAGACTTTAAGGAACTACCCGCCAGGGACATGACGACGGTAGGTGAGAATGGCACTTCTCTCTCAGGAGGTCAGAAGGCTCGAGTTGCCCTCGCAAGAGCACTGTACTCCAAGGCGCCCCTCTTGCTACTTGACGACATCTTTGCCGCTCTGGATGCCAAGACAGCTGCAGGTGTCTGGAAGTATTGCTTTTGTAGTGACCTTTTGAGTGGGAGGACGACAGTGCTAGTGACTAACCTGCCTTGGATCTCTGAGCAAGCCGACTTTTCTGTGTCGATGGAAAAGGGGCAGATCAGCTCGGCTGAATCCCAGATTGGTGTCGTTCGCAAGCCTATCGCCATTGCTCAGGTCTTGGGAGGAGACCCTGAGGACAACGAAGCTCCTGACGAGACCGAACCGGCGATCCAGTCTAATGGTGACTCTCTGAACGATGCGAACAAGGTCTCGGAGCATAAGACGATGAAGGATCTTGTGAGCCAGGAAATGAAGGCATCTGGAAAAGTTGGCCGCAACACTTGTATGCACAGTTCATTCGTGTCAAGACTATGCTGACTCGGCCACAGTTTTGCAGTACATGAGCTACTTTGGACATCCGCTGTTTGTCATTGCGTGTCTTGGTCTTCTTTTGGGTACCAACATCTTCACCTTTGCCAGCACTCTGTGGCTTTCCGTCTGGGTCGAGGCATACGACCACCAAGCGCACATCGACATAGCTTACTACATGGGCATTTTTGCTGCCCTCACCTTTCTAGAGATTGGCACTTATTGTCTGGCTATCATTATGTTTGAGTGGGGGGCCTGGCGTGCGGCCAGACGCCTACACAACGACTTCATCCGCGCCATCATGCGAGTCTCTCTGTCGTGGTTCAAGCACATTCCTATCGGCCGTATCACCAATCGCTTCTCAAGCGACATGGCCTCGATCGATGGGACTATCTGTACCATGCTGAGACTCATGCTTGATACGATCCTTCTGATGCTATTCCGCATCGGTGCTGTGAGCAGCATCATGCCTATCTTTATGGTTCCGGCACTGTTTACTTGTCTGTTTGGTGTTCTCATCGGAGAGATGTACACCCGCACTGCCGTTGTCATCAAGCGTCTCACCTCTTCAGCACAGTCACCAGTGTTTTCACAGTTTGCCGATACCCTCGCCGGTCTACCTGTTATCCGTGCTAGAGCGGGCATGTCGTCGACATTCCGAGAGGAGCTGGCTGCAAAGTTGCGAGCCTGGTCTGCGTCTTCTGTGGCCAGCTTCAATGCTAACCGTTGGGTTGCCGTGCGTGTAGACTTTGTGACGGCACTTGTGAGCCTGTCGGCTGGTATCATTGCAGTAACTCAAGCTGGAGTTGTGGCTGCGGGCCTGGTTGGTTTCTCACTCACCAACGCCAACGGACTTAGCCAGACTATCCTGTTGCTAGTCCGTGCCATGAATGATCTTGAGGTCGAGATGCAGAGTGTGAGTATCCTTGAAGTCGGTGAAATTGCGGCTGCTAACCCGAGCACTAGTTCCACCGAGTCAAGGAGTATGTCAAGCTGGAGCCCGAAGAGAAGGAAGACGAGACATATCCTGATGAGGGCGAGTACACAGATGACCCGACTCATGTGATACCTGAAGACTGGCCTCGATCTGGCGAAATCGAGTTTAGGAACGTGACCATTCGGTACGATCCGAATGGGCCTGATATCCTCACCGACGTAAACCTCAAGTTCAAGGCGGGTGAACGCGTGGCCGTGGTAGGACGAACAGGGTCGGGCAAGAGCACGGTGAGTATCGGGTGTTCTTCTTCAACTTGTTTTCAGTGACACTAACCATGATGCTTTCAGCTGGTCCTCTCCCTGCTGCGCTTCACACATGTCGTCTCTGGGGAGATTCTGTATGACGGGGTTGATATCACCAAGGTCCCTCGACATCGCCTTCGCGAGAGTCTGACCATCATTCCACAAGAAGCTGTCCTGTTCAACGGTACTGTCGAGTCCAATCTCGACCCAGGCGGTCAAGTTCCCAAGGAGGTGCTTGACAAGGCCCTCGACAACTGCAAGGGAATAGCGTCCTTTTCTCCGCATGCCTCGGATGACAGCGACAACGAGGAAAATGCTGCCGATGACGAGGATCATAGTGCTGTGACACTTGGAACCATCGTGGACGCCAAGGGCGAGAATTTCTCGCATGGTCAACGACAGGTGCTCTCGCTGTGCCGGGCACTCATTCGTCAGAGCAAGCTGATGCTTCTAGACGAAGCGACAGCCAGCATGGACTACGAGACGGATAGAGGCATCCAGAGCGTCCTGCGAAGGGAGCTGGAAGCCGAAGGCGGAGACCGCACGCTGGTGACAATTGCCCATCGCCTGCGTACCATTATTGACTATGACACTGTCGTCGTCATGAGTGCTGGACGTGTACTTGAGTAAGTTGTGGTTTCACTATTGTATCCATAGCCCTCGGATAATGAAGGCATACTAATGAACCTCGTTTAGGTGCGGTTCTCCCCGAGACTTGTACAATGCTCGAGGTCAATTTTACGACATGGTATATCACAGTGGCGAGATGGAGGATTTGCGAGAACTTTTGGACGCGTAAATGTTGATAGGATACAAAAGTAGACGACGGAGGTTGGGAGTTGATTGAGACGCCGTTGTTGGATAAAATTGCATGAGAAGCATATAGAACAGCAAAATATGGTGGCTTGTGATAGTCAAATCGTGAGCTAGACATGATGGTTCAAGAATTGATACATTTGTCTCGCTCGTTGACATGCTGAACACATGTATACTACTCTATGCACCAGAACCTCACGATAACCCTTACAAGATATGGCAGTTTAAAACATCCATCATGATTCTTACCATTCTATAAACATATCGACCGTGATGCTCGCTTGTAGAGTATCGGTTTAAAACCATTTAGCAATGGATGTCATTCACAAGTTCTATAAAAAGGCATCAAGAAAAAGCAACCAAACAAATCCAATACTCGAAAACAAAAAACCCACATGCGTCGTATATTTTCATGTCCCGCTGTGTCTCAGCGATTCGAGAAAAACTTCATATATGTTGCGGGGGAAAAAACAGACAAGAGTAGAAAAAAAAAAACCAAAAAAAAACCAGTTGTTATATAAAAAAGAACCCCCCCTTGCCTAAACCTCCCGCCGATTCCCAAAGTCTCCTCAACGCCATACGTGCGTTCGTGTGTTGTGTTGTTTGTCTCTTTGCTCATGCCTTGAATGTTTTGTTTTCTCGAGTAAGTCAGATAAAACTTCCCTTCCCCCCACGCGTATTCTTGTTTGCTTGTTTTTTTTTTTTTTTTTTGCTCCCTCTTGTTCTTGAGTTTTTCATATAGGCACGGGATGCGAGTGTAGATAGGTAGGTAGTGTGGGTTTATGGGCGTCCTTGTTGAATTTCGTGGTATCATCGGCATTGCGACATGGTCTGCTCCTCCTCCAATGTATTTGCATGCATGCATGCATGCACTGCACTGCACTGCACTCGTAGCATCTTCCTCCTTATTAACAATGTCTCGTCTATTGTCCGTTGAACTGCTGCTCCTCCATGTTGGTGACCCCGGCTTCCACGTTATGATAGTCGAGTATCTCCGAGTACCTGAGCATGCCATATTAGTACTTGGGCTACGCGGAAAGACTTCACTCGGACTCACATCATGATCTTCCATGTATCAACGGGCAGGTCAGCATCGTTGAAGCTCCAGTCAAACTTCTCCTCGGCCACGGGCTCATCGGTGGGGTCGTGGTAGGGAGCAAGGTAATCGTGGGCGAGGGCCTCAGTGGCCGTTATCCGCTTCTTAGGATCAAAGACAAGCATGCGCTCAAGGAGATCGATGGCTATTGCATGTCAGTTCTGGTGCACATTGTGAATCACCAGCTAGAGATGACGTACCTGAATCGTCGGCGTTCTTGAACTTGTTTCGAAGAGGCTGTCGCTCGCGCTTGGGCAGAGACTTGACGAATCGTAGAGTCTAATCCTCAAAGTTAATTCCACTATTCCATAGCCGACCTCGGCCCGAGAGAGGGCAAAGACAACTCACGTTCTCGCTAGCAATAGTGTTGATAACATCATCAGGGGGAGTGCCCAGCAGCTCGGTGATGATGGAGAATTGGTTGACGTGGTCCTTTCCAGGGAACAGAGGCTTGCCCTCGAGCATCTCGGCAAAGATGCATCCAGCGCTCCAGATATCAACCTCGACGTCGTATTTTTGCCAGGTGAGCATGATCTCGGGGGCTCGGTAGTATCGGGTGGAAACGTAACCCGTCATCTGAGGGTCCTGGATTCGGGCGAGGCCAAAGTCGCAAATCTTGAGATCGCAGTTCTCGTTGACGAGGATGTTGCTGGGCTTGAGATCGCGGTGGACGACGCCGGCCGAATGCACGTACTTGAGGCCTCGCTGTGGGAAGGGAAAGTGGTTAGCGTTTGTTTTCTTCCATGGAGCCAACATCCAAGGAGTCTGGCAGACATACCATGATCTGGTAGAGAAAGTACTGGATAAACTGTTTCTCGAGGGGGCGCGAAGTCAATAATCGGTGAAGATCAGTGCCGAGAAGCTCTGTGACGAAATAGCTGCAGCATCGTCAGCTCCGAGTCCCGCGGGGGGGCAGAGTGGGGGAGGGGCAGAGCCGGTGACGGCGAGGTCGGGCAAACGTACATGTCCTCGAGAGGGGAAATGAAGATATCGCTGAGTGAGATGACCTGATGAGCGCATCAATATTAGCATGTTGAAGCTGGCAATTGACCCAGCTCGGTCATGAGCATGAGATGAGGCATGCGGGCAGGGAGGGGCCAGGGGGGGGGGAGCTCTGGCGGGGCGAGTGGTGGTTGCTCACGTTTTCGTGCTTGAGGTGCTTGAGCAGCTTGAGCTCACGGTATGTGCGCTTGGCGAGCACCGGAGTGCTGAAGGGCTTCATGATCTTCTTGACGGCGACATTTTGGCTGGTAAGCTGATCTCGGGCAGAACTGTCGAGTGCACGTTGAGTCAGTTATTGTCATTCAAGGCTCGCTCGGGAGAGCGAGGGCGAGGACGGTCGGGAGAGAAACGCACCAGACGAGGCCAAAAGCTCCCATGCCAACAGGCTGGAGATCCGAGTACCTGCGAACCGGAAAGAGTCAGTAAAAGCGGTCGGTCGGTCGCATTGTCGTGTCCAGTCTTACCTCGAGGTGATCTCGAATGTGGTGCCAAAGATCTGGGCGCGGACGAACTCGGCCATGGTGAAGGTCTGTCCGGAGCGGGGAGGGTTTGGGACAAGAGTTGCAAGATGCGAGTTTGTTTTCCTAGCGGCGAGACAAGGAAAATGCTAAGACGCGAAGGTTTGGAGTATCGGAGCGGGGATGGCCGAAGTAGGTGGCAGTCGCAGAATGTTGAGCTGGACTGGACTGGACTGGGCTGGGTACTGTACTCGACGGGACTGCGCTGTAGGGACTGGCGTAAGAAGTTGGGGGAGCAAAGTTACTAAGTAATCTAGTTGTTGGATTGGATGGGCTGGGATTGGTATGGATGGGATGGGATGGACCGATAATGGGTCAGGTGAATGGGAAATCGACGATCGAGCGCACAAGGCGATGGAAGAAATGACCAGGGGGTGTTAGAGGAGACAGTGAAAAAAAAAAAAAGCGATCCAGGTTTCGATGGTGTCGATGGAGCGAGCGAGTATCGAGCGATGGACGGCCACAAAGACTGGACTGGACTGCCAGGAAGCGATCGGGGCGGGGACGATGGATTCCCACTGGACGGCAGAGAAAGAGAGCCAAGCAACCTGTACTGACTGTACTTTGTTTCTCCCTTGTTACCGAGCGGGCTTATATCGAGATGGATCGATCAATGTTTTTGTCCGTGTTTTGATATGTCGTTTCCCGTCTTTTCCCTTGTCTGTCTTGTCTTGTCTCTCTGGTTGTTATGTCGTAGGCGGTGCGGTAGGCGGGGTAAGGTATGCGGGCAGCCAGTTATCCCCAGGAAATTCAGGCTGTACTGTAGGTACTGGAGGTTGGTAGGCAGCGAAAAACGACGTCTGTCAATGGCAAAAAAACCCTCTTGTTAGCCAATACCCATATTAAGAATGTAGCGTCGCCACTCGAAATTCACGACAGAAAGGGCACTAAAGCAGCAACACTGAATCGGAGAAGTGTCTCCCTCCAGGTGGTCTTCTGATGGCTTGTGACTGGTGAGGGGCACTGCGCTGCTCAGGCTTTGCCTCCCGCCTGGACAAAGATCAAGGCCATGGATAACCGCAGAAACTGCAGAGACCCGACTCTCTCTCTCTTCCAGCCTGGACTTCGGCCGCCATCGTCTGAGCGATAATGCCAGCAAGCGCCAGCAGTGGGGTCAATTGGCCTGTCCTTTGACACCATCGTGCCCCCCAATGCTCGCTTTACCGCTGGCTGGCTAGGCTGGGACTGAGCCCGCGCGCCATCTCCCGCAGTGGCGGGAGCAGGACGCATGCAGCGCCGTGCGTGGGGAATATTCTAGACATGATGGACCCGAGAGTGTCTCCGGGGAGCAATGTCTCTGGAAGAGGTGCTGTAGGCTTACCTTGCTATCGGCGCAATAACCCAAAGCAACAGGAGGGCGGGTATACGATGCGGTGAAGAGCCCAAGGGAGGATGGAACGGGCAAAAGGGACAAGGATCGAGTCGCGTCTTTCGAGTGTCGGCCAAATGTCGATCGCTGGCTTCTGCGCTGTCTGTTGAACAAAGTGCCGTTGGAGGGGAGGTTTTAAGCTTGTGTCTAGGTAGGTAAGGTAGGAATCACGGGACGCCGAGGAGGGAGGAATGGATCCCGAGGCAAACTGTAGGTAGATGGAGGAAGAGGAGGGAGAAAATGGGCAAAGTCGAGAAGGAAATCAAGTTTACCATCTGGGAAGGAGGGTATATTAGTAGTGTTCGGTACCAAGTGCAAGCCATGGACGACGTGGATGCGCGCACCGCCGGTTTCTGCACAATGTCTGTTCTGTCTTGTCTTGTCCCGCTTCCCAGCCAAGGTGGGGGAGGAGGGGGGACAACAGCTCCGGGGAGGCTTGATTGCTTTTTTTTTTTCTTCTAAAGCGAAGGGCCCGCTTGATTCTTGTTCTTCCCTTGTCACTGTGGTTTTTTCCTCCGTCTTTTCTGTGGGCAGAATGGTGGAGGGAGGACACTTGCGCTACGGGGGAGTGAGGGGATCGAGATCTACGTGGAGATGGGAGATTCAAACATGAGAAAGTTGATGATAGACAGAGGGGGGTGGCCTAATGGCGTCCATCTTTTTCCTTTGGTTGAACTTTGTGACGAAACCAGGGTCCTAGGTACTGAACCCTTTTATGCAAGTCTCTCCTGGTGATGGGCATGTCTTGGTTAAGATGTCTGATGTCGGTGTTGCTGATAACTGATGAATTTCTATCACAACTGATGAGAGCTGAGTCGGAGAGTGAATCTCGGCGACATACATACGTAGTAGTTTAGATGAGACGAGGCCATCTACCTTCAACGTTGTTTGCTTCTCTCATGTACTGTATCACGTTCCTCTTCATGGTCGCCATGAATGGCTGCCATGATGGAATCCACACCAAGCAGACAGAAAACCAAAAGGCATGAATGCATCCATGGCATTGATTGCCCTGCCGTGCCCTGCCGGGATGATACTGCAAGCACATGATTCATGCTTTGCTACCCCTCTCCCGAAACTTATCGCACAATTACAGCTTCAACTCATCATAATTGTCTTCTCCCCACGTCGCAGAAACCTGGCATTCTTTGCTTCGCGCTGCTGCTTTACACGGCGCCCATGACGTCACCCCGACCTCTACCCCTGTCGCCGGGGTGCTAGCTTGACAGCACACGTCCTGCAGCAGCGCTTAGACCCCCCCTTTTCTTCCTTTTTTTTTCCCCTCCTCCAACGGGCCAAGGACCCATCACCAGAGCCGCTTCTGGACGGCCGCCTTGTACCTCGCCAGCATAACTCGGCTGCAAAGGTACCTTGACCGTCGATTCACCCTGTCGCAAGACCTCTCCCGCTCATCGTGAAATCAAGGCGCGGATCGAACAGGGCCCGGGAAACCTGCCAGTGGGGTTCAAGTTAAACCCCCCGCCGTTTACCCCCCCCCCAAATCGAGTGGACGTCTTGTCCCATCTAGCGGCCAACGTCCCATCCCGCTACCTGGTTACTGCACCTCTGCTGTATCCATTCTGGCTCCTCATCACGCGCTGCGACGCTGCAATTACTTATTCAAGATCCCAGAAAAACTGTCGGCACCGACGTCATATGCATAAGCCACCAACTTTGCCTTGAAGTCCCCTGTCTGTCTGGGTCCCACAGGATTGAGGACTGGGAATGGATCCATTACCAACATCAACAACACCTGCCCTGGACTGCGATGCTTGGTAAAGGTAACCAGATCTCTTGGGTGAGGAATGAAACAGTCAGCTCTCTTCATAGTTTTGTTATCGCCGTTGTTTCAGTAGATATAACATAATGTGATCAAAATGTTAATCATCTCTGACTTACACGCCTCAACCACGGAGAAACAGAAACACTCATATACAACTCCCCCGTTGTCTAGACTACATAAACAAATAGCAATACAAGACGCCTGTCTCCAGCCCAGGATCATCGCTGTCCATCCCTAGCTTCCTGAGCTTGCCCTGTCGATCCTCAACCTCGTCCCGTCCATCCACCTCCCATCTCGGAATCCATCTTGGCCCTTCCCCTAACCCAGCAGAGATGTCCCCTACCCATCACGCATCGCGGATCGACCCAAGCCCCTCCCTCCGTTCGAGACCATTTGATCGACAGTGTAGTGCTTAAAATGCTCGCCATGGGCGCGTCTGATGCCCCATCTTGGGATCCTTCCAGAGCCAACAGGCCGAGGGGGCCGCCTTGCCGAGCGATCCAGCTCGTCGGTACCGAGTAACGTCTGATCCACTGTCTACAGTACGTAAATGAGACCTTGCGACCGTTCTTGGGGCGTTTCTGCCTCAGCAATGCCATCCCACGGGCATCCCCAACGTAGGGCTAGGGGTCTTGCACTGGCTACGAACAACCCATCTCCTTCTACCAAGACCCCCCAGGTCCAAATAACGTTAGAATATGACCACATATCAACAGTCGTGTCATTCCTCCCGCTTTGAACTTGACCTACACATGACAAAAGCCAATTGGTGGGTATTCACCCGAGATGCTAGTGCTCGAACCCTCTCTAGAACCTCACCCTCTTTGACGCGTGACCTCTAAACTCCACAGCGTATTTTTATAGTTGCATGGCCCTCCCCCAAACCTTGCCAATCATTTCTTTCTGGCATGTCTATTCAAGTGGATGTTCGTTGCCATAAGCTATACCTGGCCACTACGGGGAATTGCAGCAGTTGTGCTTGGCAAGCTAGACTACACATGCTCGCCCATATTCACCCCTGGCATGGTATGTCTAGCCCCCAGACACTTGTTGGTATGATTCACAAATAGAAAAAAATCAAAATCATTGCTACGAAACCGGCACAAATTGTACGAGCGTTAAACGTACTCTGTCAATAGATGTGTATCATGCTCGTTTCATTATCAAAGGGAAAGCCTGTCCGCCATGAACACTTCTCATGACCCAATCACCCTTCATCAATCTGCCTAAATCCCTCTCTTCCAACCTGCCCTGTCACCTCTAACCTACGCCGTTTGCGAGTTTATCCCTGTCCCTTAATCTACCCCTCTATCATGATCATGATCTAGTCGTGGACAACCAAAGGCTCCACATTCCAGATGCCCTCCGCATACTCATCAATGCAGCGGTCGCTGCTGAAGAAGCCCATGCGGGAAACGGAAATGATCGACTTCTTGATCCACTCTTCCTGGTTCTTGTACGCCTCATCAACAAGGTGGTGAGTCTCGTTGTAACTGTGGAAGTCATCCGACACCAGATAGTAATCACCATGGTCACGCACAGCCGCGATCAGAGCACTAAAGTCGTGGACTGAGCCGAATGTGCCCTTCTGAATCTCGGCGAATACCTTCTCCAGGTCAGGGTCGATGGTGTGTGAGCCATACTGGTGGGCGTGGCGAAGGTCCTCAACATCCTCCGCGAGGTTGCCAAACAGGAAGATGTTGTTCTCTCCAATCTCGCGAGTGATTTCAATCTATATCAAAGTTAGTCTACTATATGAAAATGATCAAGTTTTACTCACGTTGGCACCGTCGCAAGTACCGATGATAAGACCACCGTTGAGGACAAACTTCATGTTGCTGGTACCCGAAGCCCTAGATGACCTGTTAGCCGGCTGTCTTTTAATGATGTGGAGCGTATGCTCCATGGTAACTTACTCAGTACCGGCGGTGGAAATGTGCTCGCTCAGATCCGAGGCCGGAGTGAT